CAATACGGATTAATTCCGTAAGTAGAGGGTCCACTGTACTGTATATGCATCATGCAGGTTCATACTTTCCTTTTGCATTTGTGCACGTCAGCAGTTGAGCATCTTTTTCACAGTAATCTAATATGTTTAGGAACACCACTTGTATTTACCCTAGTTCTTCTCTAATAGCTGACTGAGTTTCTCCCAGTGTGGAATTTTCATCATCCGGCAATAAATTTTGTTTCATTTTGAATTGTCTTATTATCAGAATTTTTGATATATAAACTACTCTGAGTTGGTTTAGCATGTCTTCCTGTGTAGTATTAACAAGAGCCAGCTCCACTTTCATGACCATTCCCTGTAAAAGACTTTAATACAGATTTATACAGATAAAATACAAAATTTCTGACCACATATTGAAATTCTGTTGTTATAACCTGATTATACATGTAGGGTATACCTTGTTTCACTTACATTGTTCTTTATTCCTTAACTGTTGTTTATGGTGTGTCTGGATAAGATAATACTGATGGTATCTCTTCAGAACAGGACTAACAGTCATACTGTGTATGCTTGCTTCATTTTCATCTGAGATTTTTGTCCCTCCCTTGCCACAAGAGACATTTTGACTACTCCCTTCACAGCACATTTATGGCTTTTTAGCACAATCAGCAATGGAAATAGTATGTGCTAAAAAATAAGCTGAGCCACCACCCTGGGAAAATACATACCGCATACGCAATAGCAGTAGCAAAACAAATTGTTGGAGATGTCTAGGAAATGGGGAATAGTTATCCACACTTCAAATGTTCCACATTAATTTTTATGGTATTATTTTCCCATCTTTATCAGTTGGGTGTGGACTAATACATAGCCAGGAATCAAACTTGGAAGCTAGGGTCCTGAAAACCTGTTTTTCCCATGCAAACGTGACCTTTTAATTCCCATATGCAACTTCAATAACATGTTAAATTATGTGAGACTGGCAATTCGGATTTTTTCTTGTTATACTTGTCTTTGTTCTTGGTGTCTCCACTTGTCAGTATTTAAATGGGAAACACCTTTGATTAGCGACCTCTGTTTCTGCTTCTGTCAGTTATAATTTGTGCTTATAACTGAGGATGACAATGACAATGATGAGGATGACAATGACAATGATGATTATGAACTGAATTATTCTTACCTCACTATTTAATCAGAACATTTATTCATTGGTGCCATTGTTAAGATTGTTGGGCTGTCAATGAACCATTTAAGTCAATGGTTTGTAATTGGTTTGTGAGTAAATTCTCTGGTATTTCATAAGTGTACTGTGGATATTTCTTAAAATATATTGTAACATTCTTTCTGGCCAAAATCCTGTTCACACAGCTATGCTGCATAAAGCCATGGTGTTTCCTGTTTTACAGAAATAAAGCATTTCCAACCTTCCCTTTTGGAAGGTCTAAAGAGATCCCTTTCATCATGAGAAAGTTATTGGGGGCTGTGGGATCTGGAGCATTTTTTAAATTTCTGAAAGCCCCTGTTGCTAGTAAAGTCAAACTGGTGGTGGTGATTTTCAGAAATTAAAGACTGCCCTCACAGGGATCCCAAAGGAGCCCTGGGAATTTTGGGAGTGGGGTGGGAATATAAATATTTGAAAGGTGCTAAATATTTTTTTATAAAGTTGTTATTAATTATTAATAAGGATAAGGGTTTGGGGCTGGATACAAGGGAATAAGGAAGGGATGAATAAGGATGGGGAAAGGGTAAAATTCCAGAGAGTGAAAGAGTATTCTTACTGTACATCCACTTATGTTAAAAAGGGAAATCACATAAGTAAACAATCTTTAAAAAATTCCAGATTATTTGTCATTACTACTCTCTCTATCTCTTTGGACTTTCTCATACTTCTTTTATCTATATCTTCCAGTTCGTATTTCTGACCCAATTATAAGATATTATATTAAATTTAATGCTTCTGTTAGGTGTTAAAAATTATTAATTGGGGTTGCAGAAAAAGGTGTCCTGAAAATGAAAGCACATTTAAAAGTACAGCTTGAAACATTTATGTTTGTTACAGAATATCACAGAAGTGAGTACACCCCCTCACATTTCATAAACATTTTAGTACAGTGGTGCCTCGACTTACGATCATAATCCATTCCAGAAGATGGACGTAAGTCGAAATGGTCATAAGTCAAAGCACGATTTCTCATTGAAATGCATGGGAACGCGATTAATCCGTTCCAGCGTTTTAAAAAAATACCAAAAATATATTTTTAAAAAACACTGCAAGCCCCATAGGGACACGCTGGGGCTGCAAAAAACAAACAAAACCCAAAAAATAAACATTGGAGCAAGTCCCACATTGGGACTGCCAAAAAAAATCAAAACAACAGAGCATAGGAATATAAACCCCCCCCCCAACAAAAGTGAGTACAACCCTAAGTGACAATGTCAAAATTGGGCACAAAGTGTTAACACTTGGGGTGGCCACCATTATTTTCACAAGCCTGGTCTAGGCCATCTTTATGTAGAGCAACAATTTATTTTTTCAGATCCTCAGATAGCTCATTACCATGAGGTGCCATGTGGAACTTCTAGTGACCAGTCTGAGACAGTGAGAGTGATAACACCTGCTCCCCCTTCACACCTGAGACTTTGTGACACTAATGGATCTCATGACACTTGGGAGGGAAAATGGCTACTTGGGCCTAATTTGGACATTGTCACTTAGGGGTGTATTCACTTTTGTTGCCAGCGGTTTAGACATTAATAGCTGTGTGTTGCGTTATTTTGACAGGACAGCCCATTTACACTGTTATACAAGCTGTATACTCACTGCTTTACATTGCAGCCAAGTGTCATTTCTTCAGTGTTGTGATATGAAAAGATATATGTACTAAAATATTTATGAAATGTGGGGGGGGGGTGTAGTCACTTCTGTGACATACTGTATTTCAAAATGTAATCAGCTACTTTCCAGCAAGCCTGGGAACAAGGTCATGATATGACGGTGTTGCTTTGAAGAATTTCATTAAACTGAGTTTAGTATGGAAGTAAATTAAAGGCTGAATTGAAAATACTGTATGTTGTAATAAGTAAACTTGTTTATGTTGCAATATAATAGTGTTTGTAGGTCTTATAGCACACCCTACCAGTGATTATAATAGTGTAATCTTGCAATGGTCTAATGTCCCACACCCTTGATGCCATAAGGTCTTGTTGGTCTAGTGGCTTATAGATATGGACTATCACTCCAGATCCAAATTTGGATAGTCAAAACAATAATGTTAGTTAGCAAAATATGAAATTGCAGATGTCTAGAGCTGCAAGATATGCAGAAACAACAGATTTTTATGTTGAAAATTTTCTGTTGGATCTCCAGGCCCCATGGAACTTGCAGATCCTGAATGAGAAAACATTTAAGATGGGAGAAGTGAACAACTTAAAGAGCTATAAATATGGTAAGATAAACCACACAAAGAGACAGCATTTATCATATAATTGCAACTCCACTCAGCTTTGGGCACCAGACATCAAAGAACAACAATCATAATGAATTTCCTTCCATTGATGCAAACTGGCACAATGTTGGCTTGGCTGGGTGAGAGCTAGTAGACATCCTTCAGTCTCGAGAGACTATGGTAACATGCTCTGAATAGAGGCCTTAGAACAACGTCTATTGTGGCTGAGAAGGCCAAATCAAGAGTGACAATCCCTTCCACACTGAAGACAAATACAATCTGTCTCCTGTCCAGCTCCCTGATTTTGCTGCTTCCGGGACTGCCTCTTTGCCTCGGCCTGCTGGACAAGGGTCTCTTCAAATTGGGAGAGGCCATGATGCAATGCCTGCCTCCAGGTTGAACGCTCAGATGTCAAAGTTTCCCACCTGTTGAAGTCCATTCCTAAGGCCTTCAGATCCCGCTTGCAGATATCCTTGTATTGCAGCTATGGTCTCCCTCTGGGACGATTTCCCTGCACTAATTCTCCACACAGGAGATCTTTTTGAATCTGACCATTAGCCATTCTCACAATATGCCCAAGCCAATGTAGACATCACTGTTTCAGTAAGGGTGAGAGTACTGTTTAATAAAATTTCTCTTTGTGTCCAAATATGCTAAGGATTAAAATGTATTTTTTACTTTCATAGATTTTTAAGCTTAATTACTTTAATATTCACCATTGATAGCTTTAATATTGTCTTTTAATGTTGTAAGCCACTATGGATTATTTGTAAGAAAAAGGGGTAAAATTATTTTAAATACATAATGAAATAAAAATTGTTTTTAAAAGTTATTAGGCTCTAAGCTCTTGCATTTTTGGAGTGTAACTGAAATATAATTTTTTTACTCTTAAAATATATGCTCCTGTATCTTAGAAGACTTTTGTTTAAGCATTTGTGCTGACAATTTTTCTATAGCTCTAAGACTTTGGGTGTTTTAAAATGCTGAAGCATTTTGTTGTACATGGAACATAGAAGCAGTGTAGATAAATAAAGCTTGTGGAATTTGACAAGCTAATATTGTCTGGAATTATTGCAAGAATTAAAAGACTTATAGCTTGATAGATTTTTTTGATGTGATTGATTGGTTTCATTCTGGAATTAATCCTTAACTGGGTAAATGCCACCTATTAAGGCTTCTGACTTTTTTCCCAGGAGGTCTATAAAGTTCTGTAGGACTCTTAAGGAGAGTTAAGCATTGGTTTATCTAACCTGAATTAGAATTCTTTAATTTCTAAAACACTTCAGCTGATAATATCACAAGTCTTATACTGTGTAGCTGAGGATTTCAGCCTCCAAGTGTTTATTTACATCTGTTTCTGGTTGCTTTTAAATCAGTGCTCTGTCCCTCTTTCCTCCTACACGTAATGTAAGTTACCAGGACCTTGCCATGAATAAAAACTGTGTGAAAGAATTCATGTGTTATTTCAGTAACGCAATCCTCAGTTAAATTAATGTCTTTTAGTGAAATGATAATGCCAAGGCAGGGACTGCAGCTGAACATTAAGAAGGCAAAGATCGTAAGGACAGAAGAGCTAGCTACTCAACTTTAATGTTGACATTTAAATTGTTACAGATTTTGTAGACACCTAACATTAATAAAATTGTACACTTTTGGCAATGGCTGTAACATCTCACAAAAGTGTAAGAAGCCGGGAACAAAGAGACACATGTTGGCCCCGTCAGTTAATTCAGATTTCTTTCATGATCTTGCTCCCTCTGTTCTCTGTGACAAAAAAACACAGCCGCTGTCCTTGAAGAGGGGGGGAATGGAGACGCAAGTGGATGAGAGTCAACAGGGCGGCCAGCAAGGAAAATTAACGTTTGCAGCTCCACAACTTCGAAACCCGCCAGCCAGCGCGGCCTCTGGGGGATTCGGCGGGCTGAACTGCCAGCAGGAGTTTCTTCAACGCCGGCCGGGTCACTGGGAGCCAACGGCGGGGGCGAGTTTGGGCCTCCACTTGGCCTCCAGGCTTGGCGGCCGGGACGGCTGTTTCCGCGGAGGGCACCAGCTGGGGTAGGTGGGGCGACATTCAAAATGGGAGCGCCGATCCTCCACGGTGCTAATTAAGGGCTTTAAACTGCTTTGTGGCCGCCGTCTCCCTTGGCTGCAAGCGATGCCTCTTCCGCCTTCTGTTCACGTAGTCCGCATTAAGAACATTCACACACCCTCGCTAAACACCGTGCCTGAAGTCTCAAGGGAAAACGCCCTTGGCTCCTCGGTTCAGTGCACATACGGGGACGGCAGCCAGGAGAAGGGCTTAGCGACCCGCAACCATATCAGCGCACTCTACTCAGGCGCCACGCAGATCGTGAGCTCCCAGTCCGCGGCGATTGGTGTCGTCGCCGCCGCTAGGTACCTCCGCCCCTCCCCTCCCCGTCCGCGGTGTGTAACTCTGCCTTACGCCAGCCCCACCCCGCCGCCGAGATTGCTAACTTCGGGCTGGTTGAAGGGTGAGGCTCAAGCCCCGCCCCGAGAGGGCGAGGGAGCCAATGAGGAAACTTGTCTAACAAGACGGGTAGTGGCGATGGCTAAGGCCTCCTGAAGCGGGCAAAGTTGGCGGGGGGAAGGGGATGCGCGCGCGCGCGCTCGTCGGCGAGGGGAGAGCTGTGGTGGTCGTCAACTGAGGTGTCGGTTTGAGGTGAGCGTGCGGCGGAGGTGGGGGACGGTTCCGCTAGTTAATTCCCGCTGATTAGGGGCGGAGAGAGAGATGCCGGGATATCCTCGGCGAGGACCTGTAGAGGTCGAAACTAGCGCCCACTCTTCATTTCAGAGTCGCCTTGGGGGCCTCCATAACTTTGTCCTTTTTGCGTCGGATTCGCCGCCTCAACCGGTGTCTCAGAGACGGGGTGGGGGTGGGGTCGACGGGTCGGTCGGTCAGTCAGGCAGCGGATTTAGCCGTGGATCACCCGTGCCTTTGCCTGGGATAAGGACGCGACCATTTGTCTCATCCCCCGTTACTCTTTGGGGCAGGCCGGGGCGAACGGGACCGGCTCCCCCCCCCAGCTGTCGAATGGAGGTTCAGTCGCTTATGGTCGGGTGTCCCGTCTTATTAAAACTTGATGGGATTTCGGACTAGTCCTGTGCAAAGAGGAGTTGTGCGGGATGTTTCGCTGGAATACTTTCTCCGCCTACTCCCCGAATCCCGTTGGCATATGATTCAGAGCCTCTTGAACGATTCAAGTATGACCCTGAATTAATAAATAAATATAGATCGGCTTTCCTCGATTTCCTTTTCGAGCAACTCTGGCTCATGAGGCTATCATTATGGTAGATTTTTTGCAAGTACGTCAGTTTTTCCGAGATGGTTTTAAATGATACGCGTGATTTTTCTCTTTCCAGAAGTCTTACAGAACACTTGCGAGCTACGTTTAAGGTTGTAATCGGATAATTATATCCACAGATTTTTCTAATACTGCTCCTCCTTGAATGTTGCTTCGCTGTAGTGGAGAGGCACCAGTGTAGCTCATTTTATCACTTGTGGTTTTGCATACATGTTTGGTGGTTATCTGATGATCAGGTCACAAGTTACAGGCCTTCTATGTAGAAAGCAGTTCCACATAGGAATCTATACTATACAGACTGCTGACGATTGTCAAGTGTGTATATGAAATACATGATGATCCAAAATAATTTTTCAAACAATCCTTCCATACAGAAAATACACATTGGGTGGAATGTACTGGGGTGATTGCCTTGGCTGTTGCATGCTTCACGTGTAGTGCCATGCAATATTGGAACAAGGGGTCAAAGGTATAACAAAACCATCCCTAGATCATTGATATCTGCAGGAATTTTTATCCAAATAGGCGCAGAACTCCACAGTTCTGTGTAAGTAACATGCACAGTACTCTTACAGATTTGCCTGTTATGTGTATGCACGTGCAAATGCTTTGTACTTTAGTGTAACTTGCTATGACATTTAGAAGCCTACACAGTTTAGAAGAAAATCCTGGGAATTTGGCATGCTGATGTAAAAGAGTGCTATATTCTAGCTTCACATGACCACCACGCTCCATCAAAACTATAGAACTATTTAAAAGGTGAGATGCTTTAAAAAAAACGGAGGAAAACACCCAGTAGAACAACTGCATTATAGCAATCTTACACTGCATTTGTCATAATGTTGACAACATCACGTGACTTGTTAGGAAAAAAGTTCCCATGGTCTAGAATGATTTCCTTTGGATGACAGATATACAGTCAATAGCACTGGAGTCTGCTCTTGGGCTGGGATAGAAGTAGATACGTATAGGTTGATTGAGCTTTTGAATAATACCTTTTCAGCAACTGAAACCCAGATTTTCTTCTCTGATTCCCTTCACCCACATATAAATCCTTGGGGTTATTAATAATTAATGGCGGAAGTGATTTTAATTTGCATAGTTGAAATGAGCAGTCCACACTACATTCTTCTGTCCATGAAATATTCAGAAGATTAGGGTACATAACATAATACAAATGTTATTATTTAGCCATGAGAACAATTCTGAAGTCCATATCGGAGCACTACCTTTTTTGGTCACGTGGGATACAGAAATGTGTTAGGTTTACAAATCAGGAATGATATTACAGCTTGGAAGGGGGAAGAAGAAAAAATATTATTTGATGACATGTTGAACTAGCATGGCCGGAGCCTGCAGATAAAATGTTGAGGTGGTGGGGTTACCGTCTTTGTTCAAGCCGGATGTGACACAATCCGCTGTGTCCCTTAGTAATTTATACTTTCCCTGCAGTCAAGAATATGCCACTCTCTTCAAATACATTTTCTTTAAAACACACACACACACAAAAACTGAAAAAAGTATAACATAGAAATGGATTGTAGCACAAGTATACTGCAATTTTAGTCACTGTATAAAGTACATTGTAATAATGTCGTACAACACTCTCATTCTCCATGTCGAAACGAATATAACAAGCTGGGCAGGACTGGCATAACCCATAAGTATTACAATGATTATTTTAAAATTGCTTTTAGTTCAAGAATATTTAATGTACTGTATGTTATTTGTTTTACACTATAACTTTGTATTTTTATTTAAACTTAGCCTTAATACTGTCAGATGCTTTGAGGTCCAATTCTGAGAGGAGGGCGGGATATAAATCAAATAAATAATGAATTCAATATCTTGTTGTAGCTCCACCTTCTGTAATATGAATATATGTGTGGTGGATTTTATATGAACAGCTAGTGTAATGTTTAAATACTTAAAGATAAAGAATATCCCCCTTAGCATTTTAAATCATTAAAACTTATGAGTTTTTCTCTTTTCAGCCTTTCTTAGGAGATGGTATAGATGCACTAGTTCTCAGTCACAGTTATACTAAGTTCCAGGATATTTATCTCTTAAATAGTAATCACTCCCAGCCTGGGAACACAGAAAAAGATCACTTTCAAATGAACCAGGAAGTTCTGCCTCCAGATAAAGAGTGTGTTAATGATTGCTATGATTTTATGATTTATTTATGCTGAATCACTACAGAAACTGGCTAGTTCCTTGTAGAACAAATGAGTAGAATAGTTGTTGCACATTTTACCTCACATGGTTCCTGCAAGTGTAGATACTGTACTTGTGATATTATTTTTTAATGAAGATGGGAATTATTTAGGTGTCCCTGCACTGATTTTGCCAGCCAGTATTATAATTGAATTGTTTGGAATTGGTGGAATTAACTGATCCATTCAGTACAGTGGTGCCTCGCATAGCGACGATAATCGGTGCAGCAAAAATCGCTGCAAAGCGATTTTTTAAAAAAGCCCACAGGAATGCATTGAAACCCCTTCAGTGCGTTCCTATGGGCTTCAAACTCACCTTTAAACGAAAATCCTCCATACGGTGGCCATTTTCGCTGCCTGGTAAGCGAGGAATCCATCCTAGAAAACAGCGGGCAGCCATTTTTTTTACCTGCCGGCCATTTTGGAACCGCTGACCAGCTGTTAAAAAATCATCGCTTTGCGATGATCGGTAAGCGAAACAGGGTACCAATCATCGCAAAGCGATTTTTCCCTATTTAAAACATAAATGGAGGCATTACCTTGCAGCAGTTTAAAGATGAGATTTATTCTGGTGGATTTATGCTTCTAGGTATAAATAATAGGACCCTGGCCAACATTTTTGCCAAGTTACTGTAATAAATGGTACCACTTGTATTCACTTTGTGTTACAGCAAACTTAGTATAGTCTTTAGATTTACTCTGGAAATTTTGGTAAGAATTATATAAAGCCATTATTTGTTTATTCTCTAAAGTGATATTTAGTTTGTAGTTACAGACATCCTAAATTGATGATAGATCCCATTCTGTCTAGTGGAACTTTCTTCTAAAAATAAATGTACATAGGAATAGGCTGTGAGAAGCATGGTGGATAAAAATCATTGATTTTTTTAAAAATCAAATTGATTTAACTCACTATTTAAATTAAAAATCAATTCTTTTGATCTAAATAATCCAGTTTTAAAAAAATTAAACTGTGATTTAAATCATAATTTAAATTGTGATTTAAATAGAATCCATAGTGAAGTAAATGCTTCAATTTCCAGTGTCTGTATTAATGTGGTAAATGTGAAAGAGGTACACTATATGCAATAGTCTCTGCTCATGTATCTACATGTAAGTACTGTATACATCCTGCCTTATTCTACAGCCTTTGGCCTGATCTAATGTTTAATAATAATGGAAGCATTTCCCAGAAAATAATAATGTTTCATTGTGTTTTATCTTCCTAAATATTTACAGTTATATATTCCTAAATATTTGATACATTTTCCTAATAGTCTCCATTGCAGATTTAGTTGTACCATTCCTATGATTAGCCTTTTTAAAATGAGGTTGCCACCAACAGCATACACTGAATCAGGATAAGAAGGGATGAAGGTTGTAGCTGAGGTCTTAAACTGAGCAGTATGATGTATTGCAGGTTTTTATTTTAGGAATCTTGTGGATCCAACTTTGCTCCTAGAATGTCAGATAGTGATTGTGGCTATGACTGTTATTAAGTTTTACTGGGTATATTTATCCTTGTAGTCTGAATGTGGAAGAGAGACATTTATCTCAAATCAGTGTAAGAATCATGAAAGGTAAGTGTCAGTGCCTGAAGCAACTTTACTCATGCTGCTTTGTACAAAGGGTATGCCATTTTGTGTTTTTTGGATGTCAGTTCCCAGAATTCTCCCAAGAATTATAGATATTGCAGCCCAGAAACCCAGATTCAAGATACCTAGCTTTTATTCCTCACACACGCACACACGGCTTTTTAATGAGTTTACCTGCCACATAGACTCCTCCAGTCTTCTTGTTTCCGATTTCTTCCTGGTATTCTTTTTTTTAAAGGAAGCTGCTGTGGTATTTCCTGGGAGTCATAGTCCTGTGGGAGGCTCCTTCTATAGAACCTAATAGGCAGCATGGTTGATTCCAAGGAAGCACAGCAGGACTTCTTCTTTTTTTTTTTTTTAAAGTCAACAGCAGTAGATAATAAGAAAGCTGGAGGAGCCCACAGTGGAGGTAAAATCATTTAAAATTCTCTTTTTCCAGCGGAGGGGTGGGGAAGTTATGAATGCAACTTACAAGTGTGAGAACTCTTTTGAGTACCTCATTGAATACAGTTCCTAAGATATCATTGGATGGAGCCATTATAGTTAAAATGAAATCAAGTGCTATAACTGTGTAATGCAAATACTGTATACTCCTGCTTAAAAAAAATGGCACAGAATAATTCTACTAATGTTGATAATATAGTTCTTATAATTTTTTACTCATTGCATGTAACTGAATAAGGAGATTATAGAAGGGTATGTAATTGATTCATAGTATAAAAAGTAAATATTTCAAAACACAATCTAACTCACGCAGCTAATCCACTAGAGAAGATGAGACTGATTAGACATATCCTACTGTATGATAAGGAGGAACTCCTTTGGAAGAAAGGCCTCTCCCTGCATTAGTAGCCCTGTTCTGCAACAGACAAGCTACTTTCTACATACAACTTTAAAAGTTATCTTTTCAGGCTACGGGCCTGTGAAGGACAGAAGGCTAGTGTGCCGTCCTCAGCAAAGGATAGACAAGAAGAGACGTTTGGATGCGTAGAGGGGGAACTCATAAAAATAGAAGAGGAGCAGGTGAAGGATGGAAAGGTGATAGAGGTGTGCTTAGTTGAAGACAAGGAAGGAGACAAAGGAGAGGAGCAAGATCTGCTAGTGTGGGAGGAGGCTGTAAAAGAGTGGAGCGAAGTGAGGGAATTTAGAGTGGAAACTGACAAGAAAGGGGAAAACACAAAAGACAGCACGGTGCAGACAGATTGGGGTAATGGAGCAGCTAGTAAGGTCTGTGATTTGTTAAGAGAATTTCTGAATCTTAAGACAGGAAGGGGATTGCTCCCAGATCCTGCCTCCCCAGTAGTGAGAGGAAGATGGTGAAACCTCTAGAATGGACCGTTATGGTTTACCTCCGCAATCAAAGTGGAGGGAGGAAAATGATCCATCCCAGTCCCTCCTACAACAACCCACCCCCAGAGGGGGATTGCGCGAGACACCCTTGTTGTGGGACGGTGTGTGCAGTGAGGAGTACCCCCATGAGACTGATGACCGACCGCGAGTGCTTTGGTCCAGCCCCAATGTAAGGAGTGAAATATTTACACCAGAAGTGAAGATACTGAGTTATAGAACAATTCCAGAGTTAAGCTATTTTGATCCATTTAACCTTGTTAATCCAGAAGTTGATTAAAATAAAGTTGAAGCAGTTGGTCATTTCAAACCATCTCCATCTCTCATTCCCGCCAAAATGAAGGAACCATCACCAATTTTAGAAGAACCTAATCACAAGGTCTCACAGTAATCCAGCCAGTATGTGAACTGGTTATGTTGGGTGGCTGTGGGAGTTGGAGTCTAGCAAAAGTACTTTTCAGAGCCTTTCCCTTACATTGGTCCTGCAAGGAGTGGCCATAGTGAGGCCCTGAAATACAGAATTTGGACAGCAAGGTAACAGAAACTGAATTTCTCTGAGGAACTCAGTGCTTGGACTAGTTATTCGTGTTAGTTTGGAGTTGGTATAGCAAAAAAGCTTGACACAGGGCTTAGAGCAGTGGTTCTTAACGTGGGTGAT